CCAGGCCAAAGATAAGAACATTTATTGTACTGTAATTTACTATAATAACTTATAAGCTACAAAGCTTTTTGATGAATGAAAGTTCAAGCTCAAGAAACCATTTACTGATTTACTGAAAAACAGAAATAAAAGAGTCACAAAATAGCAAACTGCTGGTACATTTTTTGAAAACACCCTGTAATTTGGTTTTTCTCAACCATTAAAGGGGAAAAGCTGTTGTGAACAGTTCAAAAACGTAGCTAAAGCAAAATCGCAAGGTCAACCCACCGATTCGAAGAAGAAACCTAATTTTTGCCAAAGTTCTCTACATTTTGAGCGTTTATGGTGAGATTTGTGAGCTCAGCGTGGTTTTTACTAGAAGTAGCATAGGACAGTTCCAATACCTTTATAGCATTCATTACAACATTGTTGATTGGAATATTATGTTTAGAATAAGTTTTTCAAAAAACTCGCTTTCGTGAAGCATTGAAAAAGCACAAATTTTCGCTGGGCAAGGGCGGGAACTTGCAAGCCTTACATCATTTTCGAAGAATCCAATTTGCTTCTCTTCTAAACTTGCTCGAGTTGTCGCATGTTTAGGAGTAGAATTCATCTCCCATTTTTCTGTATAATATCATGATTTTCTTGTATGTTCATCCATGGTAGCCCCCTAACAACCATTATTTTTTCCTCAAATATCTCTTCGCCGAAACCATTATCGTTTTGCGAAAGTTATGGATAAGTAGAGTTACACTATATCATTATTCATACTCATTCCCTATGACTTATAACGTCGAATAAACCAATCACAAAATATTGCAAGCATCTAGCTTGAGTCCCTTAATTTCTTGTGATGTCATAATGCTGTTGGACTTTGTGTGGCTTATTTCTCGGAGAAAAGGCTGCAAGGAGCAGTCACTCCTCTCGTTTATTGTGTTCCATATGGGAAGTACACATATCTTTCCCAACTTCTATCTGTATTTTCTACTTTGAAGTTTGCTTAACTTCTTTCCAAAGTCACTGTAAAATTGCGGTTTACAACTTTGCTGCTGCCGTTGGCATTATTATTTGAGTGAGCATTTGGGATGTTTATTTAGGACACTTAGGATGTTGGGAAAGAGTGAGCAACCAGGATGTTTTTTGAGTTCAGGTGCCGATGGTTTACTGGTTTTGCGCTGGTAACTGCATATTATAGGCTCCTTGCAGCAATTGTATGCATAGGTTAGATACTTGAGGAAGTTAAGGACCGGAGCGGAGTCCCGGACATCGAC